CCGGTGAGAACCCGGCGTGCTCCGTCCCGGCTTTGTAGGGATGCGAGGTCAATGGTCTGACGATTACGGCATGCACGACTATGAGTACTATGAGTACATCCCCCCCTCGATGTTTGCCATCGCGATGGACTCGTCTGCTGCGGTACTCATTCGTGCTACTGAGACCAAGGGAGCAACTGACTGCTGCTGAGGCGATGCGGAGGCTGTCATGTTGGCGCCTAATGCTGTTCCAGCTCCTGCTGCTGTTAGATCAGCAGGAGCAGGAGTAGGAGCCTGGTGCGTAGAAGAGGTGTGCGCGGGCCCAAAGAAGGAGGTGATCTGCTGTGGTGCCTGCGCTGCTGCAGTCAAAGCCGTTTTCGAAGGAGCGGAGGTACTTGCGGCTGCATTCTACTCTGCCTGCGCGTTCATGTTGTTGGGGTTCTCATGCGGGGTGTTTCCCCCCCACACAGCTGCCGTGGTTGTGTGTGTGATTGCCCAGGGCAGATGCTGTCACCCCGGTGATAAAAAAGGAGGGGCCCCGTGACTAACGCGGCGCAACTAAAAACATCACCAGGGTGTGTTATCTTATGTACGCCCGGTGAAAAATCGATGGTTTGTCGGAAGCGCCCAACACTACCACCGGGGTGTCGTATTCTGTGGGGTGTGTGCTTTCTTATGTAGGTGTGTTATCTTGTGTCATATACGGTACTTCACTCGCCATCTGGGTTTACGTAGTTTCAGCCAACAATATGCGACAGCCACTTCTCCTAGGACGCGAGAGCTTCATGTGCTACACCAACCGCACCTACAGAGTGTCATCAACGCATTCTCCGACACACCCAGCCTTCGGCGTCTCAGCTTGCATTCAAGATCCCTCTGCAGCTTCAGGAAGATTCCACCTCAATCAAATATGCTGGAAAATCTGGCATCTCTCTCTCGTCCGCGCCAATGGATGTCCCGATGTGGAAGAATAATACCTTCTCGACACTATGCCAGGCCTGTCCCCTCCAGATGAACTCTTCGTTTCCCACGGTCGCCGATTACTACCTCTCGCGGGATGCTCAGAGCTTGAATCGGGCGACATTCTGGGCACAGCAGGCCCACCTCTCATGCGTATCTATATACACGCCATGCACTACATGCAACTTGGGCAACCTTCAGCCTTGCCGAACCATTTCGTTGGGCGACAAATCACTAAACTTACGTCCTTCCCTTACCGGCATCAATGAATTGGCCACCGAAGGTCGCATCATCTGCGATGATGACGGTAGTTCCCTCTTTGTTCGACACTTTACCGACCGCCAAAATCCGACCAAGATCATCCTAGCGGTAGAGCTGCTCGCCTCCTCGACAATGAACCCACGCACATCTATGTACTGGAACGCATGCGTCCTTGGGTAATTGCGTCAATGCCACCCCAGCACTCTCTGGCACCTTGGCCCCGCCACAACCCTCAGCCTTTTAGAGAAAAGCCACTGGTGGGTTGGCATGAGCGATTCCACTTACTTCTGGACACGACAATAATACACATGCCAAGGCCGCAAATCAGCATGACCAACTAAACGATGGCCTATCCTCACCATTCCCCTGCCATCAGGGCCAGGGGTGACCGTCAGCGTGGACTACTTTGAACCACTCCCCACTTCTCCACGTGGCAACGCCTACATCTTGCTTCCTCTTGAACGACAGCTTCGGCAGGCGTGCCGACAGATACGCAGTGTCCCTTGCGAACTGCACGGCCGAAGATACCGCCAACATATTCGTCAATCAATACATTACACTCTATGGAGATGTCGGGTGAGCCTTTCAGACAATGGTCGTCACTTCACCTCGGCGTGGAAGGCGTCCACCAACCGCACAATGACTCAAACACTAGCTGCGTTCATCAATGAGAGGCAAGACGACTGGGATCTCCACCTCCCGCAAGCGAAATGTACCTATAACAACACCAAATGCGCCGCCAAACGGCAAGGGCCCAACCAAGTGCACATCGGCCGTCTTGTTTGCTTCCCCATGACCGTTTGCGATAATATATCTGGTTACGGACACCAAAGCCTGGCAAAAGACCAACCTAAAATGCCACTCACCTCGCTGTGGACATGCTACGTCGCTCAAACGACCTCGTCCGAGAGCAACACGCGCTCAACGTCGACACCGAGCCCAGGAATTCGTCACTCTCGGATGTACTTCACCGCCGACCGGTCTACAAGACAGGACATTGGATCTAGGTCTACACTCGGCATCGACTGTTCGCCAAGGAGCTTCCACCGCCGCCTCTGCCTTCGCTTCGGACTCGTATGTTCTCACAGCCAAGCTCTCCTTGAACTGGACTGGGCCCTTCAAAATTCTTACGGCAGGCCCGAGCGACAAGAGGCCGGATGGGCGACCGCTCGCCGACAAACTTCTCTACTCAAATTTGCCCAAAGAGATGCCCGGTGCCAACGCCACACCACGCGTCTCCGTAGTACGCTGCAAGCCTTCCCACCATGCCCACGACACTGACATACTCCGCTTCCTGCTTGCTGGCCTTACAAGATACGTGCTGAACAATAATACCAACGAATCTCGTCCGTACCATCTCTCCGAGGATGATATCTCCAACCCTCTTCAACGCCTTGAAGTAGAGAAAATCACTGATCATCAAACTGCTCGAGGACGGGGCGGCGTACCTGCCGCTCTCTACGAGACACTCTAGAAATACTTTCTTCGACCCTCCTGGGAACCCGAAATCGACCTACAACCCTCGCGTCAGCACATCCTTCGCTACTAGTGTGGCACGACGGATCAGCACAGTCAACATAACCGTCTTTACCGCAACATGGGCATCGGAGCGGCTGCTCGCGAACTGTCCCGCGCCAACGGAGAACGTGCGCCTTCACCCGGCTACGCCTACGTCCACGCGCGACACCTACATCCGCCGCTTCAGCGCCACCGCCATATCCGTCGGAGCCTACTTCTGGTACAAAGCAAAAGACGCCCCCGGGTGGTCGGGTAGAGTATCGCGGCACACCGCAGCTTGTGACCTTTACATCGTCCGCTTTCTCGACGACCCCGGGCCGATCAAGGTCTGCCTCGCTCCCAGCCAATACAGCTCCGAACATCACGCCATCTGCTGTTCCTAGTGTCTACAAGTACTCCCAACAGCGTTCACAAGTGCTCCTAACAGCCTGATATTAGCAGGAACGTCGACCAATCCAGATGAGCCTCAAATTAGGCCACAACAACGCGTTCTTCCGCTGCTGTCCGGTGAAGACACCTTTCTCGCTAATTAAATCCTGGTCTCCGTTGGAAGCGATGCGCTGCAAAGCTCGTTGTTAGTAAACCATAATCGACTTCTTAAGTCGCGAGGGAAGGGATTGCTGTACCCTTCTCGCGATAAAAATATCTCAGGTAGGAACCGCAGAAGGGTGTCCAACCCCCTCCTCCTACCTTCTATGTGACCCCGGTTGGGTCGTCTAGCTGGTAGAAGTGGAGGATAGGGGCCAGAGAGGCAGACGACAGAGTCCAATAATGGGAGAAAAACAAACGAAAAAACACCTTGGTTGGGCACCGGATACCACCTGCTCTTGTTTTGTTTTTGCGTGGGTTTTCTCGCTGTGTCAGTAGCTCTTTACCCCAAGGTGCAATCTGCTCCTGGCTGATTACGACCTTGCACTGAGTAAGTTTGTTTTTTTGTGTTACTTTTTGTGCATCTGACACGATAGCTTTGCTTCTTTGGACGCCGTTGCCACCCAAGCACCTTGCTCTTACAGCCGTCTGCTGGCGTGATTAGCTTTGTCCTACGCTCTTGTATTTTACCCTCAACCCTGCTGCTTACTTTTCCCCCCGCAGGCCATGTGTTTTTCTAACGTTTCCCCATTGACCTCCTGCGCGCACAAATCATTGTTGCTCCCCCGCAGCTCGCGTCGTCTACTGTTGACCCCCGTCGCTCACGTCATGGATTGTCGACGCCCCCGAAAAGAGTTTTTAAGTGCTATTTGACAGTTTCGGACTCGAAAAATTTCCGAAATATGTTACATATTTTGAGTTAAGCGGTCGTTCCGAGGATCGCTCCTGACAGTCTCGCCAGAACCCACAACCAAAAAAAATATACAAATTTAAGATGCGAGGGAGGCTCCTCGGTTTGTGGAATTTTTCCACGACTTTTTGATTCAGCAACCTTCTTCGAAGTAACACATCACACCCACCACCGCACGCACACACAGCATTCTGCTGACAACATGTCAGCGCGGCCAAAGAGAAGGCCAGCGCTCAGGGAAAGGTTTTGGAGTTGGCGCGCCACCAACACAAAACAGGGAGGCTGCACGGACATAAAGTTGGGTTTGTTTCCGGCTGGCTTTTGACGTCGGCAACACGCCCGTCAGGCTGAGGCAAGGGGGAGGAAGAGCGCACGAACCTAAATGTGGTGGCAACGCCGCCAGCAAAGAAGAAGAGCAAAGAGGAGGAAGAGCACGTAGTGGCCACCTCGTGAAGGCGGGCGCGTCCTTCCGCGCGCAAGAGTATTGTCTCTGGTGTCTACTAGAAAGAAGAGCGTTTGACTCGGATGTGCCTCCGGGTCCCAAACCCCCCGTTTTTCTCCCGAACGCTTGAAACGCGACATATCACTTAGTTCAGAGGCTGTCGTCGGCCAGTGTACGTAATCACTTCCTGTCTCCGTACTGGTGTGGTGCGATTTCGTGTGCTGGGGTTGAGGGAGCGACGCAGACACGATACGCGCACGCACGCACGCACACTCAACAGCAGCAGCAGTGACAACCCCTTGTCATCGAGCAAGGTGCACAGCTAGCTGTCACGTAGGGCACCACGAAAAAACAACAGCACCTGCGGACAGGGGAAGTTCGTGGGAGGACTGTTGATCCACAGCCAATCACATGAAGCCGCTTAAATCTGAAGAGTAACACCTGCACGAGTTTCCAGGAAGCGTTCTTATCTCAATGTCTGCTCGCTTAAACCGGAAAATTTGGAGCCCCAGTCCGAAACTGGTTATTGACCTTTGGCCTTGTCAAAATCTCGACGTTTTGATTAATTTCATACTTCAGCGTCCACTCGGGCAATCGCCACCTGTTTGTGCCTCCCTTTTTTATTGAATCGCGCTCGGAGCACCGTACGCACTGGCTCTTGCTTTCTAGCCTGGTTGGGGAGTACTCAGCACTCGGTACTAATCTACGGAGATTAAGGGGGTTTCGTGTATCATCGGCGGTATGTGTTGGTTAGAGCGGCAGTCACCCTTCTGCTGTGCCTGGGCTAGCATGCGCGGCGCACTTGTCAATATACCAAGGTCTTGAGTCAATCTTTCTTCTCTGCGCTTCTGACAACAAGTTGCCCGCCTCTAAACACGATCGATCGGGCCTGGTTGTGGGCAGCCGGTATTAGCGAATAATTATTGCTGCGAGACGTGCTATCTTCGAGGCGTGCTACAGCTGGTGTGTGGGAAGCCGTGTCACTTTCGGAACGGCAGAGTGGGTGGTGTCAAAATGGGAGCCTTGGTACGTCCGGAACGGCAGCGTGGGTGGTGGTGTTTTATGTGTATTGTGTGTGTGTTTATCAGCAACTTCTTCTGGAGCTGGTGCGGACGAAAGGCTGGGGTGTGAAGCATGAGTGATTCTGAGGAACGGACACAGCAGTCGTAGAAGGAAAGTGAAGAGATGAAAGCTGTTCTGCAACAGTTTGAGGAAGAGTAACAGCAAAGAGCGCAAGATGACCGGAGAAGGCTGAGGAAGACATGCTGCGGGTTCGCGAGGTGGCGCCAGAGGAGGGATCTGCATTCTCCGCCGGGGCTATTGGAGGTGGGGAAGGCTCTGGCCGAAGGACGTGGTCAAAGCAGGAACAGCTTGGGGTGAGGTTTGGTCCTGGTGGTGGTCTTGACGATTTTCTTGTTTCGCGGGGTCGCATGGTCAACTCCCCACCCCCGAAATTGCCTCACGAATGGTCCCTTCGTGCCACGATTGCGTAGCTGTGCTTTGGTGCGTGAACGTCTGGAAACTGATTAGCGACGGGTTCTGCCCTCTAGCCGCGACGAATGCCATTTTCTTAGCCAGCAGTTGCAACAAATCGAAATGAAGGGACATGAGAACCCGAAGTTTCTCCTGGCGCGGGTTGATCAGCATGTGTCCACGTTGGCTGCGGCTGGTGTCAACAAGACCGAGGCGGAGATCGTCCCCACTTCTACGACATCGTGAAATTTTCCACCCTTCCCGAGTCTGGGTTGACGCTTGCTAGGGTGGAGGACGTCATTCGGTCAAACTACGCGAAACGTAAGGTCCAGGAGATGTTCAGGGGCGCGGCATCGGCGTCTTCTGCACCGGCACCGGCGTCAAATCCTCACGCAATGGTAGTTAGTGGCGTAGGGGGTGGCCCTGGGCATCAACAGAGAGGGGGTAGCAACGGTCAGCAGCAGCAGTAGTAGCAGCAGCAGCAGCAGCAGCAGCAGCAGCAGCAGCAGCAGCAACATCAGCAGTGGGGTGGTCCTCGTCGCCAGCAGTACCACCAACAGCAGCAGCGGCAGTGGAGTGGTCCTAGCCAGCAGCAGCCGTCGGGTGGTCCTCACAAGCAGCAGTGGCCCTCCCCGGCAGCAGTACCAGCAGGAGCAGTGGAGCGGCGGTCTTCGCTAGTCACGCCCGCAGCAGCAATAGCAGTGGTCTCGTGGGGGTGGTGCTTCGAAGTAGCTGCCGTATCGTCCTGCCTCACAGCAACCCTTTTCCGGTAAGCCACAGTTCGGGATTGGGGGGAGATACAACTGCGGGAAAAACGCGGGGTATCACCAGCCAGACTCGCCGCCTCCACCGAATGCGCCGATGCGGTGTGGAAAGCATGGACACATGGCTCAGCATTGTACAGCGCCGAGGCGGTTTGAGGGCAACTGTGCCACGCGCGGCGAATACGGCCACATCTCTCGTATTTGCGCTTGGACCTTTGGAGTGGCACACCCACATGTCAACGTCGTTACGAACCCAGGTGCGAGCGGCAATGCTTTTGGCGATACCACCAGCGTGGAGGATGCTGGTGGACAGGCGTATAATGAGCCGTTGTACGGGTATTCTAGTGAGCCGCAGTCTGCGGAGCCGATGTATGTGTGTGCAAACGGATGTGAGCTTGGCTGGCAATCGGGGGACATGGGCAGCAGTGATGAGCAGATGCAGCTGGCGCAGGGGGGGCATCTGGCTTGTGTAGATTTAGCTGAAAAACGTTGCTGTCGCGCCTGGTCTAGTGTTGAACCTGTTCTCGCTGAACCGCATGCAAGAGCGCCACAGGATTGTCCGTGACCACGTGGGGGCTTTGTTTTTGGGGGGGAAAGTGAAGTTTACGAAGTATGATAATGGCAGCTTCTTGCAGGTTTCCCGCGTTGCGCATAATCCCCGGCGTGACTCCCGACCCCTCTTCGTGCTAGCGGCGACCGTGATGCGGCCGGGCCCGCCGCGCAGCATGGACATCAACGACTTCCACTACTCACTCGGCCATGCCAGCTACAAGAACCTGGTCGAGACTGCGAAGCAGCTGGGAGTCAAGCTGACTGGCGTTCAGGAGTACTGCGATGGCTGCGATGAGGCGAAGGCGATAAAGCGCGCTGTCCCGAAGGTCGTCCACCCTTCGCGCAAGTCATCACGGCCCATGGAGCGTGTTTTCATGGATCTGGCGGGGCCGTACATGGCGTCTGCGGGTGGAACCAGGTACCTCATGGAGATCTTGGACGATCACAGTAAATTCGGTTGGTCGGTGTTCTTGCGGGACAAGAGTGGTTCTACGGTGGTTCACGCGTTCCAGACGTGGTATGTTTCGGTTAAGCCGCAGTTGGCTGCACAAAGCAAGCTCGGTTGCGTTTCCACGGACAACGGGACCGAGTGGACGAACGACGATTTCCGTGGGATGCTGGCCGATTTATAAACATCGCGCAGGAGCTCACGGAGGTCGACGGTCCCAAGAGCAACGGGCGTGTGGGGAGGAGGATCGCGTTGGTGATGGATGGGGCTAAAGCGGGGTGGCACGAGTACCGCAAGCACTTCCCTGACCTCGTGTTTCCTGCGCGTGCGGCGGTCTTCGCAGCCATCTGGCCGGAGGCTTGTGCATGGATGAACGACTGCTTCAACAGTACGGCGGAGTGCAGCAAGGCCGACCACGCGGTGCCCAGAGGAGCAGCTATTCGGGAAGCTGCGTCTTAAGATGACGCTGCCGTTCATGATGCCAGGATATCGTCACCGGACTCGCCCAACCAAGATGGACAGCAAAGGGGAACGCTGTTTTCATCTCATTTCCGGGTACAACCACTCGTCCAACACTGTCAAGATCATCCTGCCGTCGGGTGTCGCCACGTCCTGAGCGCAGGTCACTTTCGGCTACTGGCGCCAGGCACATTCGGGGGAGGGGAACCCACTTGAGGGGCCGGATCCGTGGCATCCATGCGGCCGTGGGCGTTTGCGCCGTCGGATGAGCACTTGGCATTGGCGGCTGTGACGTCTTTTTTCCCTGAGAGGCGTCGTTCCCCGGACTCGCCCAACCAAGATGGACAGCAAAGGGGAACGCTGTTTTCATCTCATTTCCGGGTACAACCACTCGTCCAACACTGTCAAGATCATCCTGCCGTCGGGTGTCGCCACGTCCTGAGCGCAGGTCACTTTCGGCTACTGGCGCCAGGCACATTCGGGGGAGGGGAACCCACTTGAGGGGCCGGATCCGTGGCATCCATGCGGCCGTGGGCGTTTGCGCCGTCGGATGAGCACTTGGCATTGGCGGCTGTGACGTCTTTTTTCCCTGAGAGGCGTCGTTTCCCCGGGGCATCGGCGGCTGCGGCGTCTTCTTCCACTGGGGGGGCTCTTCCCCTTGGGGCATCGGCGGCTACTGCGGTGTCTTCTTCCTCTGGGTGGGTCTACCCCCCGGGGCCTGGGAGGGTGGCCCATTTGTCGGTGGAGCAGCTGTTGGAGGGCGTGCCGGGCAGCGTGTGGCCAGGAGCGAGGCGGAGCGTAGGCAGGTACTGGCGGGGGTTCCACGTGTAGCTGGGGGTGCATCCGCGGTACGCTCGGTATCGCCGCCCCCTTTTGTCGGGAACTGGGGGGATATGGTTCATGCGGGAGGGTCTGGTGTGCCAGAACGGGGACATCGAGAACAACTGATCACACCGGCGGTGACGCGGGCTCATGCGAAGCGGAGCGGGATGGCGCAGGGGAGCTTTGCACTTCTCGCTGCTCAGAGCGACATCATGCGGTCTCTCGACACGGCGGCTGGACCGGATACTGCCCCGCCTGCGATGCCATCGGGGGCGGCTTCCGACCTGGAGACACCGCAGACGTACGCGCAGGCGCGAGCGATCCCGCACAACCACATCTGGGCGGAGGCGGAGCGCAATGAGTTTGCTGGGCTGCTGTCTGTGGGCACTTTCGTGGAGCACGGGGGGGTCTAGCAGCAAGGAATCACGTCATTTCGGCCAAGTGCGTGTATTCGTGGAAGGCTTATGAATTTGGTCGTGCTGTGCGTGCTAAGGCTAGATTAGTTGCTCCGGGGTGTGGGCAGCGTGGTGGTATTGACTTCTCCGAGACTCTTTCCCCGTGTCCGTCTATCACTAGCATTCGGATGTTGGCTGCAGTTGCGTGCGAGTTGGGATGGGACTTGTGTCATCTTGATGCTGAGCAGGCGTTCGTTCAGTTGAAGTTGGATGAGGATATGTTCGTTCGTCTACCCAAGGGTTGTGATGCGCTTTCTGGTAAGGTGGTGAAGCTGGGGCAAAGTCTGTACGGGATGCGTCAGGCTTCGCGCATGTGGCACAAACACTTGATGCGCGGAATGCAGCGTCTTGGGTTTGAGCCATGCGCTGCTGATGCGTGTGTGATGCATCTGATTGCGGATTGTTTGGTGACTATGGTGGTTGTTGTACACATA